GTAAAAAAGTTTGAATTTGCTGGTCCGCAAATTAAAAGTGGTTGATCCTTATACAAATAACAGTGGTGAAGTTGCACTATCAACCTGTGCGCCAACTCAAAACCTGGTAGATTAAGGTGCGCGCACGTCTTCATCCTGCAGTTACTGACTTTTGTAAACAGCCTCAATCGTTGCAAGACGAAACAGAACAACAAAGTGGCAGAAAACTAAGCCCAAAATTTACGCTTTTTGCAACCAGCTGACAAAATGTATCCTTTTAATAAGGCGTGCTCAGCTTGCGCTTGTTCGAAATCGTCACAGCCGCCCGAAATAAAATAATGGATAATGAGATGCAAAGAATGCCAATGGGCTGCTTGAAAAGTTGTGGACAATACCAGTGAGTAGTGAAAACCTAAAATAGGTGCCATTTCTCATGTCATAGGCTGTTTGGAGTTGGCAAATCATTTCCTCACTCCATCTTTTGCTGAAAACTGAGCTCATACAGAAATTGGCTGGCAGTTTCTCAAAGCCAAGTGGTTTTTGTAACTCTAAGGACTTCAACATTGAAGTTTGTTCACTAGAAAGCTCTACCGACAGATTTTGCTCAAAAAAGTTTACAGCAGATCAAAAAAGGCGTTCGGATGTCTTTGAAAGCTTTTGAGTTGGAATTTTTGCTCAGAAGATCCGAAAAAGATGCTTGCACTACGTAGATGCATGCACGCAGACATATACAAATAAACATAAGCATACATACAAACATGCACACACATGCGCACACGCATACATATAGGGTCATAACTGCAGCAGTTGCAGTACAATCTGCATAGCAGTTCATGCTCAAAAATTAGCATCTTACTGCAACACAATTGTTTAATAAGATAGCGTTCTCTGCCCGTCTCGCCACCGTCCACTGAGTAACACACTCACAATCTTATTCACCGCAAAAGGCGGATCGCCATACCAATTCCAAATTTAGTTAAGACCAAACAACCTGACATGACTGTCAAGTGAGGGGAAGTGTTTTAGTTACGGCCGTCATGGAAAGAAAGATCTTACAGTTTCAGGACTTGTTGGGTTTTTGGTTGTGGGTTAGTGTTGTGATAAACAATCACAATCCACAAACAAATTTCTATTCGCCCTACCAATTTGTTTTCCCACTCTGTACCTAACGGACTTAACTGCGAGTTCCGAGCCTTGATTTCTCGTTGGCTTCATCTCCGCGGTTTCATTTCAGGTAAACGCTTTATCGCA